ATAAAGCAAAAACGCAAGCAAATAAAAGAATTACTTTTCAAGGAAAAAGCTCTTGGGCAATGATATGTATGAAGATTACTTGGAAACAATATACGCATGTACATATACACATATATTCTTACCTGATACAAGATCCATGAGAATTTGTATGCCATCTTGGTAAAGATTTTGGGCTTCCAAAATTCGGCCCGCCTGATCACATTGAACTGCTCGCATTAATATATCCTTGGCGTTCATTCTGCCCAAGCCGTTTGCACTATTTTCAACAACCACTTTAGGTAGATTCTGCTCAAACCTCTTTTTATAAGCTTTCGCTAAGGCTTCCAATTTTTTAAATGTTTCTGCGACACGCTCACACGATAGACTTACAATTTATAAATAAAAACATAACAATATCAAATACATATACTAAAAATTTTTGGAAAATAAAGCCGAACGCTTAAATATGTTTTAATACAAACTACAAAATTTTGGGCCAATACTGACAAACAAAATTTTCTTTATTTCAATGACAATATTTTTTTTTTTCTTAGAATGTGACGTAAACAGTAAACAAAGGCGACCAGCTGTTAGATTTGGGTTGTAATGTTGCCAGATGCAACGATGTAATGTTGCAACCCAGTGCAATTTTCTTTTATTAGTCGCGCACTTAATATAATATATGCACAGACATCTTAAGTGTAGCTAAATCGCTTCATAATAAAAATAACGAGCAGTACACATATCTTGCGAATGGACTATCAGTTCAAGCTAAAATTACGGTTTTGTGGATAACAGGGCATGTAGGCATAAAGGGTAATGAGTTGGTGGACGACGCCGCCAAAAAAGCCAATAGCTTGCCGTTAATAGCAGAAGTTCCATGCTTAAAAACGATCATGCCAAACTTTTTAAAAAATCTCAATATGGCCTAGTAGCCCAGACTCAGGGAAAATTTTAGTAGACGGACGGCAAATTCTAGAAAAAGGGGTGATGAGGGGGGGTAGAATAGGACCCCCTGATTTCAAAACTACCCCCC